CTAGTTTAACGAATAATTCTTTTTAATAAGTTAACGAAGCATTTAATCTATTTAATTGTAGGAAAAGAATGTCGACAAGGAGTGAAGCTCCATTTCGTGAAATTCATCTAAGAATTACAGAGTTCAAAATTTTTAGAATTTAATTAAAATTTTGTGAAAGGATAGAAACAGATTGTTTCTGTCGAAAAGGATGGAGGCAAATAACTTCGATACTACTCATACTTTTATTGAACGTCTAAGAGCTCTTGTAAGAATGCCTTAAAAGAATAAAAGATGCTGTAATGTCATTGTGTTGATCAGGGAATCGATTTATACTTGAACAAGTACCCAGCTTCAACAGAGTCTCCGATAACAAATACCGTTTACGGGCACCAAAGGAATTAAATACTATTCATTATTCATTATAAAGAAACGAAAAGAAGCTGGAATCAGATAGGAACATCTGAACTTCATACGGAAAAAAGCTTTCCTAGGTACTTAAACTGCCGGCGTATAATCAAATCGTTGCGCATGAATGAACAAATACTACCCGTACAGAAATTGTTATTCCCTCGAATAAATGCTATCCATTGACTGTGGTGTTGTTGACTATTAGATCCGCTAGAGGTGGAATCTAATGACCGTTCGTAAGGTTTGTTACGGTACTGCAAGTACTGAAAACCGGATACATAGTTCCCAGTGTCATCTTTCTTTCACGTGTATTGAATTACGACGTGTCATCGAAATTTCATGTTCTCTAATCTCTCCCTCGGTTAAGATCAACTACAAGGGAAATGCTTGCTCATCTTCCTTAACGCGACGTACATACATACATACATAAACGCGTTCTGTAATACGAACCATAGTTGTTCGAGAAAACGAGCAAGAAAGCAAAATGTTTACACGCGTATGTAACTCTAATACCGTGCAGCAAACACAATGCCGTTATTCACCGTTTCCTTCGTTGGATACGTATTTCACGGTCTTATATTAACTTTCGCATTTCATTTTCGCGATAGAAAAAAGTGTGCAAAGCGAGATGAACTGGTGGAACAGTCTGTCTCGTGATAATGTTAGTCTTTGCCTCTGTACTTACCTTATTTCCTAAATTGAATTTGTCATTCAACCATTATTATATCGCGTAGACAAGGATAAAAGAAAACTCATCTGATTGAGATAACGTGGAATGAAGGTGAAATATGTATCAGAATCATGGCGAATTACATACTTGTTTGCCAGCTCGGGGTAACGTCTCCACGTTGGTACCGCCGACGACAGGCGCCTTTTCAGGTCCTCCGTTCTGTTGGCTGACATTTATGTTGGCGTTCACATTCGGGTGAACATTCGCGTTAAGATTGTTCGCATTGTCGGTCAGGTTCGTGTTCGTGTTCCCCGCCCCGACACCACCCCCACACTTTCCTTCCTCGCCCGTCATCACTTCAGCCTCACCCACCGCCGCCGCCGCCGCCGCCGCCGAGTCACCCTGTCTCACCCTTTCCCGTTCCAAGCTTCGAGCCTTCCTTCCGTTCGCTGATTACCAATGTCGGTCCGCTGGCCAGAATCCGGATATCTGCTCGAACGAGACGTCGAATCAGGAGAAGAAAATCGGGTCAACTTGCGCCGCGCGATCACCGTGCTCTCAGACGATCGGCTAATTGTTTCGAATCTCATTTCACTCCTGTCACCTTCGCTCATCCGCGCCTCCATTAAACGGCCATCAATCAACCGATAACGACGAGGATGTAGTTATTATGATATTCATTTTACGAGATAGAAAATTTTTGAACGATTCCCAGGATATCGAAAGCGATAAATTAATCGAACGACACAGATGAAATCGAAATATGAATTGTAATAATGTGGAAGAACGAGGTACGAATTAAAATCGTTGAAATTTTGCGGATGGTTTTTATTATCGTGGACGAAAGAGTAAAGTCGTCGAAGGAGGAGCGCGAGTATTGAAGAACGTCTCGCAGGACGTGAAAAGGAGGATCGATTCACAATCTGACCTGGTTAACGCGTCAACTTCGAGCACGTCTTTTCTCTCTCCCGGCGCACCGCCCGGAGATTCATTAGAAAAAGTGTAGAAGAATTACTTTCGTTCGCTGGCCGCCGCTATTTTTAGGATCCTCGCCGCGCGATGCGGGCGATATAACGGTATATGACGAGCTAGCTGAAACACGTTGAAGGCAGCCTCCGCAGAGCACATGCCGATCGGGAGCGGATCGATTAGCGCGGCGAGTACTCATCGGCGATTAAAGAACCGGAAGTTAAATCGCCATTGGAAACAGACGCCGTCACGGCGCGCCGCGTCCCGTTTTAACCGCGTTACGAATACTCGCCACTCGATCACGGTTTAATTTTAGACAGTTCCACGCAGACCGGTTTTCATCCGATTCAACGGCCGAACTGCTGCCGGTACGTGATTCCGCGATTCCGACTCGCGCTGAGCGAAATCGGGCGAAACGGTACCGTTCGTCTCGAAAACATACCGGGGTAAAATAGTTTCCGGTAGCTGCGGGAACTCGAGTAATCATACGTGTAACTGCTATCGTCAGTAGTGGAACCAGAGAAAATCGATCCGGCCGTGCCCGTTTGAGCACTGCGCGCCTCTCGAGTGTACGAACCGCTGTGATAAAAGTATCCAAATCGCGTGAAACCGATCTTTTATGACTTTCGAGATGCTGCGTAATGTCCGAGAAGAGTTAATTGCGATCGCAGTTCTAAGAGGAACGTCTTGCAGTGGGTCGAAAACTCTCCGGAATGTTTCGCATTCTCGTTACAAGAGTGACATAAACTCTAAAAACTTATTCTCTGAGAGAATGTGGCACAAAACTGCGCTGACAGGGCATTGATCCAGTTGTATCGAGTATTGATCTCTCGAACGATAATATGTTATCGAGGGTGCGACGGAGAACTAAGGTGGCAATTGTTTCAATACAGTTCAGAGAATATCGGAATTGAGTAGCGGAGAACTACCCCGTGTATAATCTGTTTTCAAAAGTGCGTCGAGATGAGAAAAACGCGACGAATATCGTTACAGCTGGCCCTTTGACAAAAGCATTGGTAAAAGCGATTTCAAAGGTGCGCACTTATCATTTCCCGATTCCTCTTTGATCCCTTGGTGTTAAACGAGGGGAAGCTTTGCCGCCCAGGGGCGAAATCAGGTAGCGTTTGTTGAAACAAGAAAAGGGAGCTGGAGGGAAAAAGTAGACGCGCGACGTACGAGCACGAAATTCGTTCGATATTTTTAAAAGAACATGGGGAACTAGGCTTCGCTGTTGCCTGGATATATGCAAACGATCACGATTCAAATTGCACGTAACCCTTCGCGTAAACTAGTTTGAAATGCATGTTGACAAAATCATGAGATCACCTCTAAAAATATGCGAGTTAAAAAATACGAGGTAAATGGTTCTCGATTTAAAGAGAATCGCGGTAAAATGTGTCACCGACACGCAATGGATTCTCCATATATATTTCTCTAAAGCAGAAATTTCTGCCGCGGACGACTTTATATGCCGGTCTCAGCTTCTTACTCTCTATAAACTTGCACTTTTTACGTTTCCCGGCGACGAATGTCCCCTTTTATGTGATGAATGAAGACAATTATCCACTATCCGGTCGAACGAGTGAACCTCGTCGAGCAATCACTCCGTAATCGAATCCTGATGCTCCGAAAATGACGCGACTACCCAGAGAGCTACAGGGTGTTGCGGCGAATGTAGTTAGAACCTCCCGAATACCAACCACAGGACACCGAGGCACTTTTCCCATTAAAATGTTTCTTCACTGTCAAATTACACGATGTTCCATCATTTTTTATACGTTTGCCGTTGCGCGAGCCGAACTATACATACATATATAGCCGTATGTATATATATATATGTATTACTTGAAAGGACTCAGTCTGTCTAAGAAAGTACCGAGCGTAACGCGACTACCCTCCTGGAAACTCCGTACGGCTTTGATCGGTTTTAAAACTTCGATGGCGACGAGTGCGTTCGAAATGACATCTGGTGCTAGTACTCCTGAAGCGCACATCTCCCCACCACTACCACCTGACGATATGAAAATGTGAAAGCGTTATTCTCATCTATGTACATTTTATGGCGCGCATTTTCGAAGGACTAAATGAGCGCATAGATATTTATGATTGACAATGAGTGCTAAGAATATAAATGAGACAAACTATGACGTACGAATGATACAAATATATATGTATGTATAAATTATTCAAATATATTTAAACAAATATCAAAGATACAGTATTTACATAAAGTTCTCTCACACTCATGCAAACACAACACGCGCACAGCATTGTCCTACATGTTTGTTTCATTAACATCGAATACAGTGACTGCGATACTTATATTCCCATGTGCATCTGTACTCGATGATCATAATTATCGCGAATCGCTTTTCGTATTATGCACTCCATCTAATCATCGTACAATTTGAGGATACTGTCAATTATTAGACAGCGGATCTTATGCATTTAACGGAAAAATATGAATATATGTAACAGAAAAAGACAAAGCATGAAAATGCACGTACATATGTTACCAATTTTAAAGATCAAAAGATCGGCAATACGTTCCTCAGGACGCATACCATGCTACATCTTAAATAAAACGTTAATTAACACAAATTTACTATGCATAAAAATCCGCTCTCTATAAATTATCCACAGCCCGCCGCCGTAATAGTTTAGGTGGCAGCATTTCACTGCAAACATCCTACATATGATTTTATTAAAATGCGAGTTCAATTAACTTCGTTTCCCTTGTCGACGGTACGATATTTACACGTACAGAATATCTTCGTTTACTGAAAATTGATTATACGTTCAGTCTGCATCAAGTGTATTGTTTAGTAGTTACTCAGCAAGTCAGTTACTCGAAATCACCATGAATAACGCGTTTAATTAAATGCTTGCATTATTTACACTGTGTACAGTATGAACTTCATTTAAGTTATTTGCCGACCGAAAAACAATGGTTTGAATTTAATTCAATGCGTAAATCAGAGAACTTAATTTTCAATCGAGGTTTTAAGATCAGTTATATTTGGTCAGTGATTCTTGACTTACTGATTACTATTTTTTTCGCGCACAGTCTTCTGGCTCCCATGCAGATACAAGACGTATGACTACCGACGAGGTAGATTAGCAAAATTAAATTCCAGCTATAGATAGCAAAAATCGCGTCGCGTATACAGCGGCATTATGAAAATTTAGGAAATTTATTTGGGCTAGTACCATAATAGAGAATGAGAAATTGACTAATTAAAGTGGAATTTAAACTGGAAGGGAGAACCATGGAAGTGATGGAATTCTTGGAAGGAGTTGAAACCTTGTTGGTGTTTCCCTGATTCAGGATCCAACGGATCTTCACCTTGGTCGAATTTTGCTCTCTTCTCATCGTCGGTCAGTACTTCTTTGGCAGCGGCAATGTCGATAAATCGTTCTTCCGCCCGTTTCTTCTCCTCTCCCTCTTGAAAGTTATCGGGGTGCCACTTTTGTGCAGCTTTCCTATACGCCTTGATAATGTCACGTTTCGTCGCTGTTCTTGGCACACCCAAAATTTTGTAATAATCTCGTGACTCGGACAGTTTTTGTCGTTGTTGTGCTTTATGCAGACCTCGTTTCGCTCTCTGCAAGCTCATATCGATTTCTAGAGCTTCCTTAAAATCTCTAATTGCTTTATGGAAAATAATAATTACGTTATTAAATTTTGTAACGACAAGAAATTTATAAATAAACTCGATATATTTTATATAGTACCAGCAAAACTCACCATCATCGAACATATCGGCCGCAAGGTACGCTTCCGCGCTGTCACAATATACTGTAGCCTCTTTCCTTATCTTTAATGCCTCCTGGCAATTTTTAATTGCCTCCCTTTGCTCCGAGTTACCAGTGAAACATTTACAAAGTAGGTGATGAGCGATAAAACGTACGTTGACTATTTGTTGCTCGAGCTTAAGTACAGGCTGAGCTGAACTTATACACCTAATGTAATCTCTCTCACTCTCATATGTCTCTGCATCCGCTAGCAGTTTCGCTATTTTCTTAATTTTCTTATAGAACGAAAAGCATTTTGAATGTTCCGGATCAAGTTTCAAACATTCTCGAATTTCCCTACAGATCATTTGAAAATTTAATAACATACATTTAGTTACATAACACATCATTTTATACCTCATTCTTACTCACTTTAGAGATTCTTCCACTTGTCCGAGTCGATAGTGCAATGTAGCTAATTTCAAATATCCTTCCGTATTATCAGACTGTAACTTGGTTGTAGAACGTACATCAGAGATAGCACTAACATAATCTTCAAGCATCTCATAACATTCGGCTCTGCGTTGCCTAAGCTCAGCTGACCATGGACAAACTTCAATGACTCTGGTTAACTGTTGTACAGCTGTTGCATAATCTCCGCTTCTAATTAATTTGTCTACGACTAATAAATCTTCTTGGGCAGGTGCTATTTTATACAAGGCAGAATAGGCGTCTGAATTGTGTGGTTCAGCTGCCAGCTATAAGGAAGGGAAATAAGAATTGTATGATGAAATCATACATTTATAAATATATAAATAAAACAAAAGTGTACTTACTACATCTCGAAAATCAACCTCTGCTTTATCAAACTGAGCTTGTTTAAACAATATATTACCACGTTGCAATCTTGCAGAGGTAAAGTCCGGCTTCAATTCCAGAACTTTATCAAGATCAAGAAGTGCAAATTTGGCTTTACCTAATGCTAGATACACTGTGCCCCTTTTATAGTATGTCAAATAATTGTTCGGATTACCCTCTAGAGCAATGGACAAAATTAAATGACAATTTTCAAGAAAATTAACTATCATTGTATTAAAATAAATAATAAATATTGAAAAGAACTTACCAACAGCTGCATGATAATGTGAGAGTGCATCTTGTAACTGGCCCTTTGCTAAAAATTCTCTACCTAGTTCTAAGTGCTTGTCAATTTCTAATTGGGAAATACTTCCAACCACTAAAACACATTACACGTTAAATTTAAATACACATTTAAAAGATTTACATTTAAGAAGATACCGTAGGTTAGGATTATTTACCATCCAAAGACAGGTCTAGTAAGACCAGTAAGAAACCGCAATGGTACATGACTGAATAAAAAGTTGAGCCACAGCAAGATGAACACTTCAGCATATAAGAAAACAAAATTGCTGGCTTTACAAGCCTCTACCTAACCAACCACCCGATAACACAAAACTATTCAGCCACGCCGCCATTGCGATCGTGGTCTTACGCGATTGGTCCAGGTAGATTCAACAGAATTGACCTTTCGTCATCGGCGCCCACAATCCGTTATCTACGTATACATGCATAATAATTCAGATGATGTACCAAATGTCCGGCACAGATTATTCATTTATCAAAATAAACGCTCATCATCAATATAGTACAATTAACTCTAAATTGGTATAATGAAACTGGTTTATTATTATTCGTCAGCAACATTTACTGTATTTCGAATGCCCAAAGGCACTCTAAACTGGACTAGCCTTGTATAAATCTACTGTCATAACAGAGTTCTAATTTAATTTTTAATTAGAATATCATTTGTCCACAAAGAGTAGATTTTACCGTAAGAAAATTCATAATTCGAGATCCGTGTAATATCCAATAAAGGATTGAAGTAAAATATCTAGGCTTCTTCGTTTATAAAATTACGTTTACTATAATTACAAGGGTCAAACATAGACAACAATTTTAAAGAAATTTGCTACTTTTCTACGCCTACTCTTATGACTTCTTAACTTCGTTCATAAGGAGTTGATTAGCTTAAGCTCAAACTCCAAGCCTTCATCTTCCTATGGTGTTCTTCATTTTATCCTACCGACGTTCTCCCAGACCTTCGAATACACATACAATTGAACCAAATTATTGAAATCAAAGACTTCCCATTTAAAGATTTATTGACAATTTATTTCCTGTTAAACACATATTTTTCTTTTTCCTTCCTGAATTTATAAAATAATTCCAATACCTATTCTATGTTTGAATTTCACTTTTTCTTATCTTCGACATCAATATAAAAATGTACTGAAGCCCTACGAATCAAAACTTTTTTAAAAGATTATGCAATTGCTTTTGTAAGATATAGAAGAAACTGACATTTACAAATGAAACGAACATTGCGGAAAAATATAAGACACAGTAATCGTAAAATAAATTAATGTGAAAGTACATTCAAAAATCATTTTAATTTTTGCACAGGGTAAAAAGGCATATGCAGATTAAAATAAGACTCTACACTGCATAATCTTTTTAATCCTTTTCTTCTTTATTATATACGATTCATTTTATAGAATTATCCTGTCACTTTTTGCATAATACTATAAATAAACGAATGAATCACTAAATGAACGAATATTTAAATAATATATGTGATCCATCGTCTTTTATGAGGTATTTGTAACAATATTGACACTCTACATCATCTTCACGGAACACACATGTTACTTTTTTTTGTTTTTTTCTTTTACCTAAGCACAAGAGACGCGCATGCTTTTCACAATATGCGACCGATAAACTTATTGCTAATGAACAAGTGTATACATTTCATGTATATACGTATGCATATAATATATGCTTAAATGTATATGTATATATCGTACACACTTTATAAGGTAAAGTTGACTTCCCCTCTTTTTTCAATTTCAGACATTTATCTTTATTACTTCGTTCAATAGCCGTACGACGTACAGTTGTTTGCAGATTTTTTCCTACTTCTCATAGTTTTTTCAGTTCACCTAATGTAGCGTGTAAATGTGCAATTACTAATTACGAGACCGACAGAATGGTACGTTCACCGGTTCGGTATTTTCTGTTTGTTTTTATAATCGTTCACACTTTTTTTGCCATTTGCTCGCCATCTCAGTGAAGTAGATATATAGCAGTATCATTAGAGTTACAAGTGAATGATACGACATGCGTCATTCGCCGTAGAAAGATGAAACACAGCCACTGAGACTCGTCTAGAAAGCGCGACCATAAATCGCCTTGCTTTCATTCTTAACTGTTTGTTTCGTTTTTCGTACACGCATGTGTGTACACGTAGTACTTATCTCGTCTGCGTTTTCGATTCAACGACAAGCGACGCTTCTTGGATAAATAACATTCGTAAAAGTTAGAAGACTTTTTTGCCATCCCACCTAGTTTTTCTTGCCCGCGAATTTCTTTCAATCTACGCGTGTGCTCTCTTTCATATTTCATTTCTCATACGCTTCCCCTCTCATGCATACCACGCGCGCTTACGAAACTCAATGGATTTACTTGCTTCTTCATTCTCTGAGTATTAGCGTTTCACGTTGTTTGCTTTTTCATTTACTTTAAACAAAAAACTGCTCGAAGTGGACGCTACAATAAAATGTGTACATAAAAATTTTGTTTTACCTTCTCGCCAAGAGCGATGATGAAACAATACCATTTAATCTGTAAATTTTTTCGGATCTGCCTAACGTAAAAAAATAAAGAAAGAATACTACGGTCTACAGCACGCGGCAACAATAAAATTGTATTCGGCAACGGTTTGTACGTGCGCCGTTTCGATTCTGTTGCCTGTTTTACATGATTAAAATATTTCTCTCTCTCATACACACGCACAGGCACACTGTCTCCTCTCTCGCTCTTTCTTTCTCTTGTGTGTGTGCTTTGTAATAGCGCATTCTTTTCGTAATAATGATTGCAGTCACAGTCAAACGCCACCTTTTTTTTGTTTACAATAATATGCAATGATTACTATTCGTAGCCCCTCTTCTCTCGTTCCTTTACGCACTGCACTTGTAATTGATCTTTGTTCGATCATTCTTCACTCAATGCAGATCGCAAAATTTTTTCTAAGGCTGCTCGTCCGATATACTTTAGAGGACCAAACAATTATTTCAAAGGTATTTATATTTTATAAATACGTGCACTGTTTCTCCGAGACAAATAACATACAAAATAAATACTTAATACGTTAATAAATAGTTATCGTTTAGTACGCTGTTCTTCTATTTCCTCTAAAGATGCTTAGATTTCTAAATCATAATACCGTACTTGAATTTATTTAGAGTTTACCAATTACGAAACGGTGGACATCTGACTATCGCATAAACATTTAACAATTTTTGTTTCTTTCCTTTTTTCTTAAATATGAAACATACAACGATAGCTACATGTTAGATTAAATTCGATCGAAATACTCGAACACCTGCTGGTGCATAATATAGAGAACAGAGAAAAAAAAATGATCAAAGAAATATAGTACGCATTGCGCACTGCGATTAATTGAGGATCAACATCACTGGTATGTATAAAAATATTATTACCATTAGGAGAAGAAACAATCATGAAAATATTCTCTCGTCTATTGCATAATCTTCGTCCACCACATTAATCGTAAATGAACGTATTACCTTCAAATGCGATAACTTAAATTCCGACGCGTCATACATATGTACTTATTTCGTTGCCTGAGTGAACGATTGGACAGTACAATATAAAGTAATATGTATAAAAAGAAGATCAGCCAGCGAAATTGATTCTATTACAAAATTTCCAAATACTGCAAACACCAAACAAAAAATCCTATGTGATCTCAATAAGAGTTTCCAAGGTATCGAGTTCTATATCAATCTAAACATTTGGATAATTCTTTTACATGAATGAAAAACAATATTTGAGATAGTACTGCCCAAAAGCTATCAATTCATTTCTCTTATCGCTATAAAATAACGCAACACAAATATAGCAAATCTGTTCTAGTAAGATTCGCACATACGAAATCGACATAGCGATTCTATCATTGACAGAATGAAATAGAAAATAAGAATAATTAGTGACAGTGATACAATCATCGATATACAAATATCGTAATAATAGTAGTAGTATCGATTACGGCATGATCTCTCTGTTCTCTTCTAGAGAGACTAAGGTCCGATTGAACAAGTGTGCCGTAAAAGTTGTACACTATATTATACATTTATAACGAAAATGTGATCGATCACTCCTTTCTCGTTGTGAATCCTTTCTTTCTAGTTAATGTTCTTGGCAGGGCCTCGGAGTTGACGAACGGACTCGACGATAATGTAAATCAATTGTATTATAGAATTCGAAACCACGCGCACCATAGTCGGAAGCCAACAATTATCTATTCATACAACGCTATTTGAAAGTTTCTAGTCTGAAATAATTATTTTTTTATCTCCATCTCCTCTTCCTCAAAGAGGCCATTCACACCTTGGTCCACGGTCACACGGCATACGATTCACGCACGCGATTGCACTATTAAATCTATTAATATAACAGGTATAAGTATGACATGTCTAAAAATCCTGTCAGTTGTCACGCAAATTGAATTTGTACTTTTTCTCACAATAGATTAGGTAAGAATTCGACACGTTTGCACAAAAGATATCCGACAATATCTATAAAGCCCTACCAACATCATCATCAACCAGTAATGACGCGTTTCGCTGTTATTACTCTATTATTTTAATCGCGTTTTTACTTTTAAGTAGAAACAATGCCTCAAAAAACGTGTTTTTTGAGGACTGTAAGAGCTAGCGTTCAGCCCTCCCCGATCGGACAACAGCCACGTTGTTTCTTGATGTTATTTTATGTTCATCATTTTAACGACTTTGTATTCCCATCCACGGCTCAAATAAATATGAGCACAATGCTTTTCCTGACATTCAATACCAATTAATTAATACATTTAATATTTGTATTTCGTTAAATTGTTCATTTATCAATTCGCATGGAAATTGAATGTCACAAGATCGTTCGATATCACAGTCGTTTTTCAATTATTTTAATTGTTTATGTATTTACGAATATTACTTAGTATGTATATTTATATATATAGCGTATCGTACTGATAAATACAGTTATAAAATATGAGTGCGCCTTTTATGCCACCTTGTTTCAAAGGGCTTGCATTTTTGTATAGTTTTTTTTCTTCTTATTCTCGCCTCGATAAAGATTGAGCCAACTAACACTGTATGTATCTTCGCTCTTTTTTTGTCTCTCTTTGAAGTTCCCCTCTGTAACTGCAACCGTATATTTTTACCCGTTTTTTCTGTTTTTCTTTAATTGTACCTAAGCTTTCTCGTTCTAGAGCACTCGCATTCAGTACTGCGACCTAAGATTTTTTTATTACGCACCATACCAGTTTTACAGGACAACGTCTTCGTTACATTTAGAAATACTAATCATAGTATGTCAAAAATCAGGTACGATTATACCTGATACTGACTGAAATGTTTCAGCCTGTTTTAAATATAGTGACCAAAAACATTCTGTTTTTAAGTAAAATAATCTTTTCAAATTAAGAGTTATACATAAGCAATAAGTTTACAATCTCGGACTTTTTCGTAAACTCACTAATTATATTATAATAGGGACATGATAAAAATATATAAACGGGATTTCTAAAAGTATCTTAAAGACGCAGCCTGTCTCCTATTCATAATATCAAAGTTCTCAACTATTGGGCACTTTATACCATTTTTTTAGTCGATTAAACCATGATATTGCCGGCGCAACGTCGTCTGTGTCTGGGGACGGCAAAACAACAAAGTACCATTCGTCGCTGGACTATGTAATAGTAAATTTAAAACAGGAGTCGTGACGAAATCCATGGCGATGGCGATTTCGGCGTATCTTTAGCGCCTAGTCAAATATACCTACATGTCTATATGCATATGCGATAAAAAAGAGAACAAAAAGATAAGAGAATAAACAGCGGTATTAGTTTAAATCAAACTACACAAGTTACTGGCCATTCAGGCAAGAATAATAAAAGCACTTGTGCATTTTTAAAGCTCTATGATATTATACTCGAATCTAGACGCCGCAACTCACGATACGCCCACCATACGTCCTTGAAAAATTTAAATAATGAAGCCACGAGCCCCATAGTCTCGACAGGAGTTCTAAAAAATTTCACTAAGTTTCTTCACCTACTATGTGTCATTATCGTTATATGCCCTAACTAGACATTAACGATTGCTTGATTTGATTCATTAGTGATTATACTACTTGCGTTTTTCAACACGCACGGCAACGAAACCATTTGGATGGATCTTACATCAGTTTTTGTCTATTACCTAACAAATCCTGGTTTTTAAACACCTCGATTCTTTTCGAATCGTACGATTTCTCTTAGCGCTCTTTAATTGCTGAGATTGCACTTAGGATTTGTCGTATTGTGTTCCGTCGCACGCGAATAAAAGTATTTTTTTGTTCTTTTTATGGAATTGAATAAACACATTTTTTAGTTTGAAAATTGTAGTGCACAGGCAGTCAGCGAACGTGATTTGTTTATACGTGATACTGTCTTTTCTTCTTGTGTATACGTATACGCGCGTAGATACGTGCGTGTTGTATTCGGTGTATGTCGTACGTGTCTTTCTTACATATATTCGAATTTACGTGTACAGTAGTATTAATGGTAAAAGTGGAAATAGAGATGATGATTATTTGTTGTTCCACCAATCAGAATAATCATTGCTGCCGTTGTTAGCAGAATTATTATACGATGAATTATAATTACCTCCGTAACTTCCTGTAAAATGAAGTTCCCATATATGAATATCTACGTATCTTACTTTTCTGAGATAAGAATTTTCGCTAAATCTCAAATAAACTTGTACCAACCTCCATAACTGCCAGGCCTGGAGGAACCATTATTACGAGCAGATCCAGAGCTGGGTGTCTGGCGATAATCTCTTGCACCAAATCCGCCACTGAAGCGGCCTCCTTTTGTACTAGCAGTTCGACGAGATCCGCCTCCAGAGTATTTTGCTTCAGAGAACATTTCGTCTAACCAAGGTGGAAGTTCTTGATTGGCTTCGATTAAGAGAGACACCAAATCACGTACTAAATTGTGATTCTTGTGGTTGAAGAATGATGTTGCTAAGCCTATGGGACAGATAAAACCACATTATTATTGAAGAACATAAACACGAGACAATAAGTACTACCAAACGAACCTAGATTGCCCATACGACCAGTACGGCCGATTCTGTGGACGTACTCTTCCACATCACCAGGTAAGTCAAAGTTGATAACGTGCTTCACGTGAGGGATGTCAAGTCCACGGGCAGCAACAGCCGTGGCAACAAGTATTGGTGCTATACCAGCACGGAAACGACGTAAGGCCTCTTCTCGTTCGCGCTGTGTTCGATCACCATGAATGCTAGTAACTGGATATCCCATTTTGCCTAGATAATCTTCCAGTGTATCTGCACCTTTCTTGGTTTCCACAAAGACCAAAGTCAATGATTCAGCAGCTGGAATTGAAAGATTATGTCATGTTCATTTCTGTGCATCGTAGTCGCCAAAGGCGAATTTCAAACTTGTATCACGTACAAGGATCTGTGAAGTTGCTAGCTTGAAGAAGATCAAGCAAATAAGATCGCTTCTCCTGTTCTTCCACCCATACAATTTTCTGAGTGATATTTTCAGATGTAGAACCGACACGGCCTACAGCTAAAAAGATGTAGTTGCTGAGGAAGTCTCTTGCCAACATTTGAATTTCTTTCGGGAACGTAGCCGAAAACATGAGAGTCTGTCTTTCCCCGGTTGGAGGCATCATATCCTCTTGGACTATGCGTCTTATTTGTGGCTCGAAACCCATATCCAACATACGATCTGCTTCATCCAGTACTAAATACCTAATATAATAAGATTAACATTAATGTAACTAGAAGAAACTATCTATATATCAAGATCGATTAGCTAATAATTTTATACAAACCGGCAATTGTGTAGCCCAATTTTGTCTCGTTTTAACATGTCAACAAGACGACCGGGTGTTGCTACTAGAAGATGACAGCCGCGGTCTAACTCTCGTATCTGATCCCCCATGCACGAACCACCATACACAACGGCAGGACGCATACGTGATCTGTATGCAAACTTTCGAGCTTCGTCATATATCTGCGTGGCGAGTTCTCTCGTGGGTGCTAACACCAAGCCCAACGGATATTGTTTACGTTTGCCGGAACTGCCTACTGGCGGTGAACGTGGTCCGCTCTCATAAATCTGATTTAATATTGGCACTAAAAAGGCCGCTGTTTTACCAGACCCTGTTTGGGCACAGGCCATAACATCACGGCGCCCGATAATGATCGGTATCGCATACTTTTGCACTGGCGTGGGTTTATCGTAACCGGCTAAAGCAATACTATTCTTTATTATCTCCGTCAGCTTAACATCGTCAAAAGATGTGATGTGTGGAGGTATGTTATCTCCAGTAGCCTCAACTGGGATATCCTCATATTTACTAAAGTTAATGCCAGTATTCCCAGTACCAAACAACTCCATCTCCAGTCGTTCGTTTCTGGAAGTGGGAACTGTCCAGTCAATCTCAGAGTTTCTTCTACCTCCATCTCTATCGTCCTTCCATCGTCCAGCACCACCACCACCACCACCCATTCTGTGTTCATTTCTGTTTTCTGGCCAACGTTCGTTTTTAGGCTCTTGCCAGCGATCGTTTCCGGAGCTAACCGGACGATCGCGCTCTCGTTCGCGATCGGAATTCGGGTATCTGAAATCTCTTCCATTTTCCTGATTAGCGCTACGTCTGTTTCGTCCACCGAAATTGCCGAAGTTTCCAAAATCGACATCACGAGACCGCGCGTCTCTGTTGTAGCCTGAGGAACCACCTCGACCCCTATCATGATCCCTCTCCCTGTCCCTCTCGCGATCTCCACCTCTGTCTCTGTCGGAAAATGGTCTTGAGTTGGATGAAGCCTGGTATTCCCCGCTAGAAGACGTGTTACCTGTAAACATATTGATAATGCAATTTTAGATCTATCCGCAAACAAATTTAACAAACAGCATTACTGGAAGATTCTACTGACTCATAAATTCTTTCAGTAGAAATATCTTTTTCGAAATAATTCTTTAAGACGTATGAGACATTCAATGATACATTGTAATATCGCGATATAACACAAGACATTCTTAGCACTTACTTCCAGATTTATTTCGTAAATGCGGTGGTACGTAGCGACCCCCACTTGGTTGGCGGGAGCCCTGCAAGTCCAGACCAGCTAACTAAAATGTAAAATATATATTAAAAATCTTGAATAATATATAGAAATAAGAATGGATCTATCATTAAAGAATTATGCAAATGATATTAATTTACATAATTCACATCGTTCACTTATGAAAATTAATGTCTTAAAGAACAATCTCAATACAGTAAATCAGTCTTATCTAATTGAAATATGGATATTATATAAAAATAAAATAAAAAGATTTGCTAAATAGTGAACGACGTTATTTGTACTCTTGTTAAATGATCAGTTATTTAAGCTCATTGAAGCCATGTAAATTCAATTCATGAAATTTGTTTGCCTCTTTTTAAAACAAACAGCAGCTTTGTTGTATGTATGGATAACTTTATACATGAAACACATAAGTATAATACATAAATTAAATCGCAACATATAATAAAAAGGTAATGTGCTAATGCGTCATCGCACGAGGCATGTTCTCGGAATTGGTTGCCGCCATTACGAAGTTGTACGTCACAGAACGTACGCCGACGTTGATCCACGTTCGTGTAATTTTTTTTATGCTCCAAATGACACGGGAACAATTGATTTACAGTAGTTTAGGTTATAAAATATTATTTACAAGTATTCGGGCACGATTTCGTAAAGAAGTGATCCAAGACGTCGAGACGATGTAAGGTTCAAGTAGAAAAGATAAAGAAAGACATGGTATACCCGAAACAACAGTTGTCAGGAATATGGAAAACTTCTGATCTTTTTTACCTGCTGCTCTAGACCTGATCCATTCTGGTTGGGTGCATTACTCATATTACTCCGCCTCGGTGCGTATTTTTCGTGGCTCTGCCGCAGAAGCTCTTTAGCTAACACTCGCCTGGGCAATCAGTGAGCAAAAAAATTTCAATTGTTCGTCTCCTCTTGTCTACAATTCGTCCCTCGCTGATGTACAAACAAAACTTTGTCGACCAAGCCAAGTAGTCAGGTATCACGATCACTGGCTGTCGCTACTTCGTTACAAAGGAAATTCGATGACTGGCTACGGATAAAAGGCCTCTGGCCACACTTGACGTCGACGCAACAAAAATGGCCGAGCGCCGAAATATTGCTAATCAAGATGGCTAACGACTTATATCCGCCGGATATCGCGAAAACTAAACGGGCATATATCTTGCTGGACAATTTTCTGATCGTTTATCGTTCCTACTACTATCACGTATTAAAAGTTTTGAACAAATTTACCGTTTGCACATGATATTGAGATATGGAATCTATGAACACGTTATGTTACTTTTTCAATTTACTGTCTGTTGGTACTCGTGCTCGATCAGCAGCTATCTTCGAGTTTCTGGTTACATTTCTGAACTAAATTCAGGATTGTACTTTTATGCGTACTATAGTACCATACGTTAAAAAAATTGTACTACAAAATCACTAATACTGACAAAATATATTTCGATAATTCATCTGCATTGAACGCGGTTGCGAATGACGTAAATGATCTTCATGAATTCAACAACGAATACAATAATGAATACAACAATGAAGTTTTGCTTTTTAAAATGTTTTTTATTGTATAAGTCCCAAAACTTAATCAACGTTAATCTAATCATCTTTCTTCGTGTCGGTCTTTCCACCACGAATTCTTCCCGTGCGACGAGCAGCAATCAAACCGATCTTACGTCCTGCGCTCGTTCCACGTTTAACAGTGGATGCTTTGCCGATGTGTTGATGGTTACCACCACCGTGAGGATGCTCCACAGGGTTCATGGCAACACCACGAACCTGTTAATAAAAAATAATTTCAGAACTCGTACATCGTAATATTATTTTAAAATATAGAAAATTCTATTTGCTCAGTTAAAAGATTATCCACAATGTACTATTCAGGTTTCAAATGTCTAAAGTAAAAGCATCATTGACAAATTCCACTTGTATATTGAGATATGAAGATTTGTATACATCATTAAGTACTGTACCTTAGGCCAGCAGTTCCTCTTTGCCTTGTATTTATGGTATGCGCGACCTGCTTTCAGAATAGGTTTGTCGATACGTCCTCCACCAGCGACAATGCCAACCATTGCCCTGTTGTTGGATGGAATGACTTTCTTCGCACCAGAGGGCAATTTGACTCTGGTCTTCTTGGTATCGGGATTGTGAGCGATGACTGTGGCATAGTTTCCAGAAGCCCTTGCCAATCGGCCTCTGTCTCCAGTCTTCTCCTCCAAATTGCAAACAATGGTACCTTCAGGCATTTGACCCACAGGCATCACATTTCCAATCTGGAGATTTGCTAAAACATAGAATATTTTATATTATTTTTCCTCCTTAATAGAGATCCATACTGAACTATCCTTGAACATATTTCACTCAAAGTTTAGATACCTTTCTTTCCACAGTAAAGGAACTGTCCAGTGTACATTCCTTCTGGGGCAATAAATAATTCTTTGCGCGTTTTGAACTTGTATGGGTCCCTGAAGTGAACAAGAGCTAATGGTGCTCCACGACCAGGGTCATGAATAATATCCTAAAAATATGAAATAAGTTTTTAACGAAAAGCTATATATAAACGTTATCTCATAAAGTACATAGGCAGGAAATTCAGAAAGAGCCTCTAAACGAGTCTTCAGACTTTTGTTCAGAAGTAGGTATTTTAGAATTCATCATATACTTAATTTGTGATACTGAAAACCATGCAAAGAAAGACTGAAAATTTAAACAAACCTTCACAACACCTTTGATGTAACCATGCCTTTCCGAATAATCTAAAGAGCGAAGTTTGGGTGCTCCCTTTCTCCTTTTTGTGTGGGATCTGAAAACAGATCCAGCTCCCTTACGCTGAGCACGAATTACCCGACCCATGGTTTAGAACCTGTACACAGAATGAAATGCTATATGATTCGTTTTTCATATAAATCAACACAATGCGAAACGTGACACTGTCTGTTATTCTCTGTAGCGACGTAACCTCTGAACGATACGAATAAAATGCATCACTTTGCTTGCTTAAAATGCAAAATATATGCAAAAACAGCTAGAAGATATATGAATTTGGCCTAACAACGTTTGCTTTATAGTAGATGCACTTTATTTGAACAAATTTAAAAGGATTTTAAACGAAGGATTGTCACAGGTCACATACCAGGTGAACCCGCAATCGAATAGAGGAAGACGCAGGCGGAAATGAGACTAACTTGCCAGTTTTAACTTTTTATGTTGGCAACATTTCCGTTCGGTAAAATAAGCAATAAGTAAGCTGAAGTAAGCAGATTTCAAAATATAAGAATCTGAATATGTATTTAGAAAGAAATTGAGTTTCATGAAAACAAGAGTTATTTAAGTTTTGTGATGAATTTTGTATAATTTTCATATCGTAAAAATATGAGGATAAGTCGAGTTTGTGGTCTTGGAGATTTATTAGAAGATTTTACGTTTATCCGGAAACTTCGTTTCTATTATCCTCGGTATGATTTCTACTGAAAAGGACGATTACGGACTATATTTTGAACCCCATTGGTTCCTATTTGCTGTCCCCATGATTACACAGGCACTGCCACTCTTTAGTATGATCTCCTTGGTCGTTTTACGTTTAATTTCATAATTAATCTTTATTTGTAAGGGAGCTAATTGTAAGTGTTCTGTGTAACGAAGATTATATTTCACAAATATATTTTATTTAAATAAAAGAGTTGAAGCATGCGAGAAAACACATGCTGCATTTTCAGAATTAATATAATCGGATACAATATAATTCTTGTTAGTTATTGATCAGATCAAATTAGTGATTATCCTTTGGTATATCCTGGAACAATTTCAATAATGTATCTTCTGAATCATTAACATCTTCCTTATTCGAGTTTTTAGTACTTTCAGGTTCTTGTATTACTTCAATGTCCATTGTGACTGGTACTGAATCTTCTTTGTTCATCGATTCTTCGCAAGTTTGTATTGATTGTTCATTTCGAATAATATCTGTATTTTGTATATGTTCAACAGATACTTCTGTTGCCGTATTAATGTGTTCTTGTTGAGAAGCTTCGTTTGCTTTTTGGGATACTTCCTTACTGATACTTTTCATACAAGATTCAATACTTTCATCAGAATTTGTAACTTTTAATCTTTTATTCGATAATTCTATATCTTCGTTTGCAAGAATTTCAGTTGTAGCTGAACATTGAACTTCAAAAGATTCAATAGAATGTGAATTCGCAACTCTTGCTCTTTTCGATAACGATAATCCTGGATTTGCATTTGCAGTAGTTTCAACGTTAGTAGACACTTCTTCTTCCACTGCCTCAATATGTTCTTGCATCGTTTGACCGTTAGTAACAAATTCCTTTTGAACCATTCTAAAAGAGGAAGACAACATATATGTAGTAACGTAATTTTAAGGGTCTTTTGTTTTAACGTAGCGTCATTGATGGTTCGAGGAGCGAGGTGAAAAAAAAGCGATCAGAGTGGGGTGCGAGTCGAGTCGTGTCGATGCGGTGCGGTGCGTGTTGATCGAGAAGATTCTTTCCGTGTAATTTTTCACAGTTCATTGTATTTCAACCTTCTAATTTCTAATAAACTATAGTTAAAACTATTACATATATTTTTTTAAATTCTCGTAAAATACCAGAAAGGATACGATATCAATATTAACGTCTTTATGCGGATTATGAACTTTACTTACTCTCCTTGGGTCAATTGAAGAGGCGGTGCACGTGGATGCACAATTTTTTCCAGTTCTGCCACTGCTACTTTGGCTTCTTGAGTAATATGCAAATTATTATCATTCAAAGCCATTTCGAATATTTCTAGAGAATATTGCGTAGGCGATGGTATCGAAGAATGTGGATTCATTTGCAAGGCTCTCAAAACTCTGAATAATAATAAACGGCAGTCAGGATTCTCTTTATAAAACTTTTCCTCATTAGAACTCAGGTAACAGTCATACAACAATGGTATTATAACATTTTGTACAGTCTGAAAAATATCATTATAAAATAATATCAAACACTACAGTAAAATATAAAAAGCAAATTCTTACTTCGTAGAATACTCTTTTTAAAAGAGTGCCGCTATTAAAAAATATATTTTGAAGCGTATCGAGAGCCACCTTACACACGTCAGCATCTAGATAATGTTCCTTATTAGATGCTATCCCATTATTTAAATACGTGCCTTTCTCGTATTGTCTATCCCGTAGACGCTTCAATGCTCGTTTCGATAAATTTTGTGTCTTTTGAATCTGTAATGACAATATTATGTTGTTAATTGAATTCACGTTTTACATTATTAAATCACAACATTGCTGACCGTTAACAACACGCGATCCCTTTCTGGTGTAATATCTTTTAATATACAAGGAAGATATTCATCGGCAGCTGTTTCTATTCCTGACAGGCCATTAGTATTCGTTAGCCACGAGTTAAGACTTTTATAGACACATATCCTCAAATTTATGTATGGTTTCTTGCCGCTAATCGTTATCTGATCCTCTGTAATATTTTCTGTCCATTGTAACGTTTGAAGAAACAGTTGCAATATTGTTGATCCAAATGTTATTAATTGTTCCTTAAACCTAAATATATTAAATACATAAATCAAATACAAAAGAAACGAATATATATTCTGATGTAATGCTATATTTTCTTACCCAACAATTAATGCGTCCAAAACATCGAACAAAGCAATATGGAGTTTAGGTAAAATAAGATATAAGATCAACTCTCTGACAGTATTCCGATTTTTTAAGTTTGATGGTTGTACTGTTAATCCTCTACACACAACTTTCAAAATCTCATGTGGAAATACTGAATTTTTCTTATCGAATCCACTATAAAATGTAACTTTATAAAATACATATCTCTACACGTGTATGTTTGTAAATTATCTTCATTACCGTAACATATGAGATAAATAAGAGCACAGATTTAAGAATCTTTGACTCTGTTTACTACAGAGTGTAATAACATCTTCTTCAGAAATGTCAGGCACTTCCAGCTTATCCCAAATGCTCACATTTTCCAATTCCATTAAACTAGAAAATAATTCATCCATTATTACGTGCAAACTGTTGCAAATCAGTGCTTGATGATATGTCCAACCAGTGTAACTTGGCTTTGAGACTGGCGGTTTAAATGAACGTTCTGTGACTCTTGCCAAAAGTGTATAACACTTAGCGCTTGCATTAATTAAGTTCTCTTGGGTAGAATCAATTTGTGATAGTATAATCTTCCTAATGGAAGTCTGAAATAAAAAAAAAATTTTAAAAAATGAACAGATATTTATAGAAATGAATTTCTTAAAATAATGAAGAAAATCAGAAAATTACTTGTAGTCGTTCACAAACTTCTGGATATTTATTCAACAGCACAGCAATCACATAATATACTGGTCCACATCTTCTTTCTATCCGTAAATTACTAATTACATTAATGAGCTGCTTCACATTTTGCATTGAAATTTGTTTCTGTATATCAGGAATATCTTTAGATCTTATAATCAATTGTCCAAGAACTTTACAAGAGATGGATATTTCTTGTGGAATACTACGATCACTTTCTAATATATCAGTAGCTTTTGACATCCATAATAAACAATATTTTGAGAGTATATCTTTAGATAATTGAGGCAAAATCTGATCTAATACTAATAAACACTTGGCACAAGTCAAAGATGAATTTATATAAGTATTTATGCTTTTAATTATACTATGTTGTATTTTATCGACCTAAAAACAAAAAATTTTTTATATAATTAAATATTTAGAGGAAGAACTGAGAGCTTAGGACTATAACATTATTCTTATAGACTTTATGTATATTATTATTATAATCTTACTTCTTCTATATCAAGTGGTATGTCTCCATTGGAAGATATCAAATTCTGTAGACATTCTCCCCAATTTTCTGAATCATAATCCAGAGAATTAATTATTTCCATTGTTGATACGATTCTAATTCAAAAGCAACGTGGTTCCAATACTCTCGTAACAACACTAGGGTGAGATTAGGTTATTCTTACACAATAAAAATGTGTGAGCCGTCATGTGGCGTACTCTTCAGGCGTACAAGCGAATAAATATATAAAAGAATTCACTTTGATACATTAATTTAAATACATGTTGTGCATTGCAAATTAGAGTTTGAAGTCTGTATCGAATTTTTACAATGTGTGTTTATTTAGTACGATAAACATAGATAAAAGATTATGAAATGTATCCTATTCAATAATGTACATACATTATTATGTACTACGCTTTGACAAAATATAAAATGTGCCGCAAGAAAAGTTGGGAAATCGAATGCATTTGCCGCAGGAAAATTAAAAAAAAGAAGTCGCGAATGGTGCGCCGGGGTAGGTTGTGGGCCCTTTGAAAAAAAATCTGAAGGAATCGGCGCAAGCCCTTGGATACGGGGTAACGTGAGCCGGAATTCAGGGGGTGAAAGGGGTCGAAGAATCGGAAAGAGAATTTACTTTGGGATTACGGAGAGCACAGAGGCTCGGGAATTGAATACGACACTGCTAACGTGGAACCATACACGTCCGGTTCATTAAAAGCGGCCCTTCTGAACTCAACAGACACCGGCATCACAATGCCATGCACTGGGAATAATATGCTCTATTTACAAATTAAAATATCCGATTTCAAAATATTTCATTTACACATGGTATTTAATCAATATTGGCCACATCTGCGTTCTGCCCAGAACTTCGTCCCCCATTTTTGCCACTGCTCTAATAGATTTTTTATTCTCATATCAGTCAATTACAACTTATTAGAAAAAAGTATCATGTTTCTCAACATCAGTAGAACACGAGATGATCATTATAAGCGCACTCTACCTAATCGTGTCCGCTTTTAATTAAGTTTGAATTTACAAACATTTTCTTACTCCCTTTTTACGTAGCTAAACTTTTTGCAGAAGTGAACCCGTCGACACTTTTTAAGTAAAGAAATGTCATAAACCCTTGCAGTTGCTTTGAAAAATTGTTTGCAAGCGCATTCCTCAAGGGGAGGAAAAAAAACGGTACTTTTTGAGAAAATGGGAAGCCGAGAAGTCACTTTTTCAACTAACGGCTTTTTCTTGGTTTATAGCACGTCCGTCCGTCTGTTTTCTAGCAAACATAGGATTTTTCGCTTAAAAACGTCTACCTCGCGTCGTCACGTACATTTTTTGCATGATAGATGAATACATGTCTAACTGGGAAAGGGGTTTCTGTTTTATCTCCAATTTCTTGACTGACTGAATGAAAAAAATTCGCACTGTAAATCATTCGCCCGTTGCTTTTTTAACGGTATTTTCTAACGGCAAAAAATCAGTCCCACTAGCTTTTTCGCAGTAACGGAAAAAACTGGACCTTTTTCCAGCGAGCTAGACAACCTTACGGTTGGTATGAAAAAATGTTAGAAAAACTGCTCGATACTACCGTTTCTTCATAGCACTTCTTTCCGTCGCGAGATCTCTAAAATTAGAAACCAATAAACTGTACTGTTTTTAATTAGCGACACTATTTTTTTGCAATTCAATATATTTTACTCTACATTAATAGTTACTTTATATTAATGAACATCGAAGCTGAGGGGCGATAAACGAATAAGAAGTAAAGGTACAGCAGGGAATTCCTGTTTCACGATTGGGGCGCGGATTACAGGCTGTCATGCGGAAACCGATAATATCATACCCCATTGTAGAGGCGTACAATATAAACGCAGACAGCCAGATTCTCGTTAAGTATTGCCCGAAGGCTCTAATTAAAATAACAAACGGAAAATTTACGAGTTTCTACCATTTATAGAAAGTTCTGTTTCCGGCGGGTTGCCGCAAACGCTCAATTCTCACAGGCAAACAACTACATCCGCTCTCCTTTTACGTATTTAAATGTTTCCATGCTATTCGTTGGAATTAACTCATAAGAGGTGTCACGTTTAAGTGAACGTCTACGCAAGATGATTATACTAACGCTTAATATTAATACGGTCACAAACAATGTACAGAAAATGTTTGGAATGCAAGGAGGAATGAAAGTTGAAGAACATGTGGACTAATTGTACAGAAATAAGAGAATAAAATTGATTGACGGAGGAGTAAGGAGTTTGATTAGGAGATAACAGAGAGATTAACGTGAGGATGATAAAGAAAGTTAAACCTGGCTGTAGTTGAAAATAATAATAGCAAAGAGAAAATAAGGTTGGCGTGAAAGGCAAAGAGAACAGAGAGGGAAACGAATAGGCGGGCGAGGGTGCTGGGATGGGAATAACCGCGAAGAGGAGTTGGCGTTTTCATCGAAAAGGAAGGTTATATAGGTACAGTTCCAGCGTCTCGTTACAGCGGTTGGTTGCTGAAAGCGTGGATGACGCGGAGGTGGCGTGAGGCGGCGGCGGCGGCGGCGGCGGCAGCGGGTGAAAATTCCCGGAGGGTGAAGCGGTCCTGCCGTGTTTTTCGCCGATTGAATCAATTAAAGAGGAAAAACTCCCGGGGTAAAATATTCGAGACGTGTCCTTTCAGTCTTGTACCGCGGATACGTGCGTGCTCGTACGTCCGCACCAATCGAGATGCCGCGTGATGGTACACCTTCGGAATTACTGGACCTAGCCGGACTTTCAACAATTTACTCCCCCTACTTTCCCTTTATACCGTCCCGGGAAATAAGACAAATGGCGTAAACGTTGTTTGAAAATGTTACACACTTTTCTACATAAACTCCCTAAGCACCCGCATTTTACTGCACTATTTTCTAACATTACAATGTCCCCGATAGACATAATAAAAAACGAATATGAAATTAAACTCTCGAAATTTTCTTTTGGATTTATCGACTGGAGTTATTCAATTGTTTTAACCGTGATATATACATATAGATATTAAAATGCTATTTACGGAAGACGTGCGTTCTATTACGTAAAATCTAGAATCTACGAAGTGATCGAGATAACAGATTTGTAATCTAATAGAGGCCAAGGAGAGAAAAGGGAAAGGGGAGGACGCAGTGTGAGACAGTGTCAGACAACAGAGCTTAATCTCTTAATTATCGAGGAATAGGTTTGCATGCAGCCGCTCCCAAGTCGTTGCAAAGATTAGTGGTAACATTACTCTGGTAAGTCTCCCATCCGGCTTGTTTGTTAAATAATATCATCGCTACCCGGATACAAGACTGCGAAAGTCTCTCCTGTTTCACCTGCATAATACCTGAGGCCGTGTTCGTCATGTACCAACACGGTCGTGACAGAAAATCTCGGAAATTTTATAAATTAAAACGGATGACGGTAAGACGGTCAGTTAGAAACAAATATAAAAAGGATTAAATCAGAAAAGGATTGCAATCCTTAATTGAGCGAAGCTTAGTTTGTATTGGTATACGTGTATGCTTTAGGGAAATTGTTTGTCGTAAGTATACAGGTAAGCAAATTTCAGGACAATTACTTGTGACAACCTATGGACAGTCGAAAGGGGATCGATTCAGCAGATATTGAATTCGACTGATGGATTCCTAATTGACAGCTTCGCGTCATATTGCACTGTTCCAACTTCAACGACGGCTTCCACGTTTACTTGCCGCTCCTGTAGATGTTACAAAGTACTTAGCTATTAAACTTAACTGTAGTATCGCAATAAACTGAATTCTACTTTTACTGACTTTACTGTGTAAGAATGGCTCGGTCGTGTTCAGGCAAAATCTACCTGCGTCGGGATATTATTTTTCTTAAATGAAAATACCTTTCTCTGTATAGGATTTCTTCAGGTTTTCTTAATTTTAACTTACAGGGAAGACGCATTGATCATAAATCCAATTGTACATAGAATGAAAAATCTTTATTATTTATTTGCACAATGTCTACATTTAATATTATGTACTTTTGTACTTATTCGTTTGGAAATAAAACACATTTGGAAATAAAAAATTGAAGTATGTAATTAGATTCGCAATTTTTATTTTTTATTTACTTGGTACAAAACACAATAGATACAAATACGAGGGTCTATTAAAAGGTGTAGTATATACCCGCTGCGCTATTCAGTCACGTAGATTGTAGATTACGATCACGAGTTTGTTCCTGTTTATTATGTAACATATATACTTAACCCCCTGCGCGTAAATATCGAAGGGGTGTATACATAGAAAGATTCCTGTTGAGAATATTATACACTATACAATATAGTATGCTATACGATATTTCGGTGTTTCGTTTTCGATTCTTTTATTATTTTGCAAGACGTTTGATATTATTTTTTTTTTATATGAACAGCATTGATTTTTAGCAGGAAGGGCTATATAGACAATGTTTAGAAACCTTCCTAATCCCAGGAATTGATTCTTATCCATTGCCCAAAACCCTAGATTATTATAATCTAACCACAACCATGAAGTCACGCCCGCGCAATATAACGTAATAGGTCCTTTAACTACTGGTAATAATCGTGACCCAGTCCCGAGTTATACAATTTCTTTGGCATAGAATAGTTACGCAATCCATAGGAAACAATGGTTGCTTGTAAACAAAATTAACAGGACAATGGTTGGCTCTGTACGGCAAAGAAGATGTTTCCCGATTTCGTTTTATGATCATAGAGATACCCTGACCATAACCACCACTGTTCGAAAGGAAATGCACGTTCAATAAATCCTTCGCCTTCCGATCTTGTTCCCTCACAGACCAACAGGTCGTCTCACTTAGGCTTTCCGGACAGTTTTACTTCAGAGTGAAAGTCCTTCCACGCTTTCCAATTTATTGTCGTTGACCATATTTTCTGTTTCATGAAACACTTGCAGCCGGTGGATCTTGGCAGACGTAAAACGCAGTCGGTCAAAGCTCGGTGGGGCCTACATTTTCGTGGTAACCTGGTGGCTTTCGCGAGAAGGATTATTGGGAGAACCGTTCCCCGCCGGATGTTCCGGATATTATTCTGGTCTCAGGCATATATTTTCGTAATCCTGTAAATCGATATCTTCGTTAATATTAACAGAAGTTCGATGAAACTGATGATTTATTCTTTAAACTATATTCATCTCGATTTACTAATAATCAAAGCACATTTTATTGCTTATAATCGAAAAATGAGATTCATAATAATCTGAAGAGAACGCAGTTTCAGATACTCGAAGATGCAGCAGAAAATGTAGAGAGTATTGTTATAAATTTTATCATGTTATGACACACGGAAGGCATAAATGGCCTGTGCTGGTACGATGTAGGGGGTGACGATCTTCTATGGTATCATTGGTGGTCCATGCATATGTAAAGATTCCTTGAAAGGGTTTCCTCTGTGGCACGCTGGCTCCGGGATACTACAACGGGGCTTCCCCCTCGCGTGCTCGTGCATTTGTTTTATGTAACCGAGTTTAATGTCATCCCGTCCAGGCATCGTTCACAGTCATCCGGCAGTGTTGTATATAAATTTTTAACTTGATTACACACAACGAGCTTGCATATGAGGGGCGTCTTATCGTGGCACCTGATTGAACGACGCAACGTCCTTCGAGCTTTCACACTCTATTAACATTTATTTTCAAACGTACTGTCGAATCAACAGGAAAACTGTGTAGGATAGGAAAATAAAAAAATCAATAAATAATCTGAATGAATTTTGTGGAGACTGTATAGAAGCGTTAAGATGTCAAACTTTCCCTGATGGACCGGAGCAAGAGAAACTGAGAGCCGATAGAGGGTGGGACTGGAGGAGAGATGAAATTAGAAACCGTAAAGAGAGAAAAAGAGAGAGAGATTGGGAGAGGGGGACTTATTTGTAGCATGCTGTGAAGTGGTGCGAGGTGGTGCAGCACGGGGTGGCGTGGCGTGCGCGCGCGCGCTGTACCCCCTGTGGGTCGGTGGCACCCCTACCTCGCGAGGGCCGTTTGTTCGGTTCGGTTCGAGTTTATGACCCTGCTGGGCCGCAAAATTTACGGTGCCCTCTTAAAAGCGATCCAAACACGTACCGGTCCATTCGGGGCACACCGTGGTACAGAAGTACGGTGTGCTTCGCCACGCGCTTTGCCCGCTTGATCTAGGATTCCTACCAGCGCGCCGCGCCAGCTACCCTTCTGACTCTCATCTACTTCCTATCCCTGTGTACCCTACGACTTCCTCTCGCACCTCTCTTGCTCCTTTTCAATCTTCTTATCTTAGAACTGTCCGAAAGAAGCTTTCTTTTTGACACAAATAAAAGTTTCATTGAACGCCCTGTTTTGTGATTATAAAATATATAAAATGTTACATTTTATTTTTGTTAGTAATTTCATATTTTAAGATAATCTGCTATCTATGCACAAGTGTAAGAAGAATACGAGAATCAGAATTTTATTTGTATTTGACTTATAGTTCAAGATCAGCCAGCAAGACCAAGTTTGACAGATATTGGTTTCCCAAAAAAATGAAAGAATACAAGGAGAAACCATGGCCAGCACCGATCACAGAGACTCCACAAATCATCCGAGGTGCCAAATTCTCCAAGTAGCATGGACCAGGCCCAGTCGCACAACTTTTATGGAGAGGAACAAAACAGCTACCGTGTCTCTCTCCTCTTGCCATACATTTTCCTCTCTCGTTCCCCGAGTTTCTGCCAAATTTTTCGGTTCATGCTACCTAAAAATTTTTACGACGTATGCGGTAAACCGAAAGTCGTTTCGATGGTTACCACAGTCCTGCGTTTCCACAAAAAATCGGATACCTTCTGCAACTGCAGTAAATCATCTTCACCCTTTTTCCCCAATTTTGTTTTTATATTTATAGAGGGTCACGTATTGTTTAACCAACCGCTGCCCGGTTACATGATTTCAGATCGAAGTTACCCGATTTTACGTCAAACCAGCTCTCCCTACTTTTTCTCGCTCGTTATATTGCACCTTATATCTGTATCGCAGTCAAAAAATTTATTCTTCGCTCAAGAATGTATGTAATGTGTGACAAATATTTATACTTCATAGTTTTCAAATAAAATTTCAATACATATTCCTTCTGTCTTATTAGTCGCTGCTATTCTTAAATCTATAAGCAATGAATGCGTGAAACGCGTTTATTTATTCCGCCCGACATTGAATTCCTAGTAACGTTCTACATAGGCAAAGATTGCAGAATACGCAATAAAAGTACTTACGCGGAAACGATCTTGATCAGGTTACGTGATGTTCATATCTATACATATATATGTCTTATTATCAAGAATGATACACACGTACGCGAGCGAGCGAGCACAAAGTGCACTTCTGTACATATGCAGACGGCAGTCTTGAAAAGATAGAGTAACATGCATTCAGGGTGAAGAAACTAGTTGTCCATAAGTAAGATTTTACTTTTACTACTATTATTATTATCTCCTGAGAATCTGTGCTTTAAGGCAAACACGTTTAGGTAAGTGAAATTTATTTCAAAGACAAATATTTGGCAGTTAAATGAAAATGTACAGAAGTTACAATATTTTTACTATACATATAAAGGTCGTACATTCTGAAATCGAAATTATATTCTTATAATTATATGTATAATCTGTGTGTATATTTATAATCATACAAGGTATTCGATGTTAGAGTGAAATACGTGACATACTAGCTACTGAGTCAATCTATGCACAAGTGTAAGAAGAATACGAGAATCAGAATTTTATTTGTATTTGACTTATAGTTCAAGATCAGCCAGCAAGACCAAGTTTGACAGATATTGGTTTCCCAAAAAAATGAAAGAATACAAGGAGAAACCATGGCCAGCACCGATCACAGAGACTCCACAAATCATCCGAGGTGCCAAATTCTCCAAGTAGCATGGACCAGGCCCAGTCGCACAACTTTTATGGAGAGGAACAAAACAGCTACCGTGTCTCTCTCCTCTTGCCATACATTTTCCTCTCTCGTTCCCCGAGTTTCTGCCAAATTTTTCGGTTCATGCTACCTAAAAATTTTTACGACGTATGCGGTAAACCGAAAGTCGTTTCGATGGTTACCACAGTCCTGCGTTTCCACAAAAAATCGGATACCTTCTGCAACTGCAGTAAATCATCTTCACCCTTTTTCCCCAATTTTGTTTTTATATTTATAGAGGGTCACGTATTGTTTAACCAACCGCTGCCCGGTTACATGATTTCAGATCGAAGTTACCCGATTTTACGTCAAACCAGCTCTCCCTACTTTTTCTCGCTCGTTATATTGCACCTTATATCTGTATCGCAGTCAAAAAATTTATTCTTCGCTCAAGAATGTATGTAATGTGTGACAAATATTTATACTTCATAGTTTTCAAATAAAATTTCAATACATATTCCTTCTGTCTTATTAGTCGCTGCTATTCTTAAATCTATAAGCAATGAATGCGTGAAACGCGTTTATTTATTCCGCCCGACATTGAATTCCTAGTAACGTTCTACATAGGCAAAGATTGCAGAATACGCAATAAAAGTACTTACGCGGAAACGATCTTGATCAGGTTACGTGATGTTCATATCTATACATATATATGTCTTATTATCAAGAATGATACACACGTACGCGAGCGAGCGAGCACAAAGTGCACTTCTGTACATATGCAGACGGCAGTCTTGAAAAGATAGAGTAACATGCATTCAGGGTGAAGAAACTAGTTGTCCATAAGTAAGATTTTACTTTTACTACTATTATTATTATCTCCTGAGAATCTGTGCTTTAAGGCAAACACGTTTAGGTAAGTGAAATTTATTTCAAAGACAAATATTTGGCAGTTAAATGAAAATGTACAGAAGTTACAATATTTTTACTATACATATAAAGGTCGTACATTCTGAAATCGAAATTATATTCTTATAATTATATGTATAATCTGTGTGTATATTTATAATCATACAAGGTATTCGATGTTAGAGTGAAATACGTGACATACTAGCTACTGAGTCTATTTATATTGATGAAAATTGAGCTAACCCAAACTATAGAAGACGCTGAGAATTACTTAATAATCTTACTTTACGTACCTTACGTAACGTACGTTTACATTTAGTTACAGTAGGTACGTTTGTACATGGACGACATACTTTATTTTGCAGAATGGAACTGCAGAATACGAAACTCGACATGCAAGTCTTCGAAAGAGCACTTCGAAAACAGTTGCTCAACAAGAATGTAATTGTTTTGAAAGTTACGGAGAACAGTTTGTCGGAAAAAGGATTAAACTTTCTCAGTGATCTGTACAAGGTGGACGTTCGATACAAAATTGTTACAAAAAATAACAATGAGATCGCTGAATCTGAAAAGACGAGCAGTATGTTCATCAAAGTTGAACCGTCGAATAAACTGTCAAAAGATATGTGCCAACAACAAAGCTTCTGTCTAACCGAGATGAGAATTTTACGCGACGTTCTGCCACAAATCGAAGAGCTCGTTGGTTGTCAATTTGGCCCGAAATTGTACTACTCTCTCGAGAATCCAACGGTCCTTATTATGGAAAATTTACTAGAAAGAGGATTCTTCATGAAAGATCGTCAGAAAGGGTTGCCGTTCGAACATTGCCGGTTAGTTGTAGAACGAATTGCAAAATTACACGCTGGATCTGTTGCGTTTTTTGAAAAGGTACGTGAGTCTCGTAAGGTACTTCAACTTATTCAACGAGTTGTGTCAAATTTTGACAGGATCCGAAATTAATCGAATCTTTTAAAGACGGCGGCATAACAACGATTAAATGTCCGAGGTCCTATTTTCGGTTGATGGAAGTAAGTCTTTTGCGAATAGCTGACCAGGTGCGAAAATGGTCGAACGGAGAATACTCGGCTGCGGCGGATAAATTGCTTAAATTGGAGAAAACTATAGCCGAGCGGTGCATGGATGTGTACAATTACGACGAGGATGAATTCTGCGTGCTGAATCACGGAGATTGTTGGACTAACAATGAGATGTTTGTAGAAAATGAAAACGGTGAACCAACTGATTTTTTATTGGTAACATATCTCTTTTAAACGTAGAATCATAGAAATAGAAAATTTTAGAATTATATAGAAAATAGAAAACTTTAATCTGGTTTCCTTCAGGTTGATTATCAAATGGCTGTTTATAGTTCTCCAGCTATCGACCTCATATATTTTCTGAACATTTGCCCCGAGTTTGAAATTAAATACGACAACGACGACTATTTTCTGACACATTATCTGAATACCTTAAGTGATACTATGAAAAGTATTGGCTGCAAAAAGAAGCCACCAACGATGGAGGAACTGAAGAAAGCAATAGACAAAAGAAGAATATACACGGTGTTTTCTGGTATTATACTTTGCTTGCGCATGATAGCAAATAAAGAAGATACCGAAGATTTTAACGAGGTGTTTGGCCAGCTATCGGGTGAAACTAAAATCAATGTGTTCAAGAATCCAGATGCTATTAAATTGGCGCAGAAGATGATTCCGATTATGAATGAAAGGGGTTACCTTGATTAATGATGATAGAGAATTAAGTGAAATCAAGATTATTACTAATATTACTATAATATTACTAACATTAGATATAATAATAATAATAATATATAATAATAAATATTAGATATAATATTAGATGAAATATAGTATTACTAATATTAGATAAAATTCTTTTATTTTTTTGTTATACATTTTGTGAAACAAAATAATACGTATGCAATAATAAATTTTAAGCTTCGAGATTCTATGCTGTTTAAGAAGTTCAACGACATTATACACATAATTGTCAGCATCGGCACAGTTTCGTTAAACCGGAACGTTTTCTCGGGAGCGAGGAAAAAGTTAAGCTGCAGATCGGCACAGTCGATGAACTTTCGAAAGGATCCTTCGAAGCAGAACACGCGCGTCCTTGGCGGTCAGACGGTAGCAATTGATTTATTGTAGGGCAGTAAAGCAGTAGGCTAAAAGGTTCCTGAATGCGTCGCCTCGGTAACCTACATCGTGAACAGAGAAATTGTTGTGGCAAGCCTCGATGGGGTGGCTTTTGCCTCGAGCTGAATCTCTGCTACCGGGCAAGGAGAAACGCGGGTGGTGAACAGGAGGAGTCTGCTTGCCTCGAGAGAGTTCCATGTTCCGTCGTACGGAGCTACAATTTGCCGCGTCGACGTCTCACAGCAGTTTCTCTCATTTAGTCTCAAAGTTGGTCACCAACGAGACTTCCTTTTATTGTTTGCGTTGACCTGGAAGATGCACGATGCTGACTGCATGCCGGGGAGGTTTGTAAATCATAGCTAGAAAGGCAGATCGGAAAAATTCGGTAGCCGACTTTCGGTTCTTCGCACGAGGTTTCGAGAAAGTTTTGGGGGAGGTAGGAGCGTCTGGGGTGAAAAATAATGGATAGTAGAAAAACTGGACGTCCGTGAACTATTCGGGTTATTCGGTCGTCAGTGGCAGAAAATTCCGGTAGCTACCGATTAGTTACGAATCGTCCCAGATATTTGCTCGCTTTGTCCTACTTTCGTATGTCATCCGTGCTACCGTTTGCATCAAGTAAAGCAGCAATATTCTGAATTGAGGAATATCATAAATACATCAACTATATTAATGAGTTAAGAATATGTATAAAACGCAGTATTATTTTAATTACGTACATACCACGGCGTTTTGTAAAATAATTTTTATTTATATCAATTGTGAATAAAGAATTTTGTCAATAATACTAAAAGCGAAGTAAAGAAGAAGGGCGGCAACACAAAAAAGAGTTAGGTTTGAAGGGCGCGAGTAATCGTTCCAAATTCTCGAGGGTGTCACTAATCCTTCGATTTTTCAGGTGTTCCGTTTTAGCGTGTGTTGGACAACTTATTTGTCAACGTCCCCTTCCTGAATAACGCCTGTTTCTTACGCGTCCTCGGGAATAAAAAAACCTGGTGCCAACCCTGGGAATAGTCTTCGTCTTAGGTAAGGTGCGATTGATAAATTTCGAACTTCCACATTTTTTAAGCCAGTCGGAATTGTGTAACGAGATAAATGTACTCTTTACATCGCCGGTAAACAGGTGAAAAGAAACTTCTACGGGTGAAAGTGAGGAAAGATTTTTTTGGTGGCATTGAATAACTTGGGTTAACAAATAAAATTGATCCTCTGACACCCACGTAAATCGCTTAATCTTTTAATCCTTCTATTATTGGGCGACCCTGTGAATTCCATGTAAAAACTTTTACCCTTTTTTAGAATCAATAAAATATTGTACTTTTAAAAAGAATAAAGCGTAGAAAATCTTGAGTAAAAATAAACAGTTAAATTAACTTTTATTTTACTACCGTGAAATTCTTGTTTATTTAATTCGAAGCATAGCTGGCTGTAGGTGGAGTGAACATGAATATTGTATTGTAGTAACGATAAAAGAGAAAACCACTTATCAATATTATCCCCGGGCCTCGATGCTCATACGGGCGTATTTACGTTGAGCGGGACATGCAATTTTGGCATGCGACGCGTAAATACGGACGTGTCATTGGACAACAATATACCCGTGGGATCTAATGCCTTGATCCCCGGTGTCAACGACCACGCCATTCTGAACTTTTCGATAGCATTCCGTGACGACGAGCGACGCTGAGTAAATTATTGCTAAATAGCGTAGGTACACGGCGGATGTCAAGATGCGGGCACTGTGGCGTTCGTTTCGGGTGGTCGTGGGATCTTTCGGCCAGGACCCCATCGAAATACTAGAATGTGGAACAGAATCTTCTTAATCGACGTCGGACAAAACAAACAGCCAGGGGATATTCGTGAAAAACGCGTTCGACGCTCCTCCATAATACTCCACATGTGGGACGATAGAACCTGTTCGGTCATCTTGCAAGCGGTGCATAGATTTCTCTTTTTAAGATGGGGGTGAAAGGACGTAACACATTTATGAATCTCTAGTAAATTTTCTTCAATTCTTTATAAAACATTTTCCAATCCTCAATCTAATCCTTTTTATATTCGAGGAACTAACTAGAGAAGTAAGAGTACTAAGAAATATGACTTTCAGTGTCTAAATGTATACAGCCCTTACAGACAGAATGGCATGAATAGATTGGCACGAACATGTCGTTGAAGCTGAGTCATAAATTGTCTTACGCAATTGCGAGTGACCATAAGAATCGGTCGAAGACCTGCATTGCATTTGTCATACAGCCGTTCTACCATGTTTTGGAAGTCTGCGGCCGCAATGGCATTGAACGTTGGCCGAGCATCCGTACTGAATATTCCTCCGGTCTACCAGTTCGTAAGGACAGTAAATCATCAAACACGGATTTATGGGTCAACTTCGGGAGGTATAGCCGAGTCCTTTTCGTCGCTTTCACCGGTTCTCTCTTTCACTGTTTCGTTTCCACATTTTCGTGTAAACAGTAGTATCCAATGCCTGGCACCTTTTTCACAAAAATTTGGTCGTACCTTTCGTCTATTGAAGACGAACACCAGTCTCCAAATTCCTGTGTAGAGAGTAGCTTCATTTTTTATAAAATAATACTTCTAATGATATAAAATGTTCTGAAATCGATACCAAAGTCTACTTATTTCGTGTGACAGGAGAATAATGAGGACAATTACCTATTGATAATAGTATGACGTCCAGCCTGCGTTCTCTACGAGGATGTGTTACGTTTTACTACACGTATAGGAAGGAGCATGTAACATGATTTGTGTTCGGACGTGATTTCTATGTGAAAGCCAGAAGCCAAATGCGATTATGATCGCCGGGAACGCGGACACAGGGGGTGTATTATAATAAAGCGAAAGTGCTGTTACAGAACTCACGTCGAGCGACACGTGGCGAATCGTGTTCTGATATTGTATCACTGTCCGCCACGTGACTATCACTTCATAAATATATCTATCGCACCGTGCTCGGTTGGTGGTGCCCCAAACGCGTATGAATCGTACTCACGATACTTATCGTCGATCTTCGTTTTCAAGATTTCGGTGCACCCGCAGATATCAATTTTATCCTTTTCAACTTCCACGCTCGTGTCAGGGATTGTAATTACAGAAAAAATAGATCAATTTTCTTCGTTTTTAGTGTTTTATATTTATTACATTAAAAATAATTACAATAAAATTTTAAACAGTAAACTCCTTTTCTGATAAAAATGACTGTTTCTCATTTGTATTGTTTCAATGATACCAATTTAGGTCCAGAATAATTTCTTTGGCTGCCAGAAAGCAATGACCGAGAAACGAATTTCTGTTCGCTGGATGGAATCTCGGACCGGGGAGTTTCTCGATCGGAGCTTTTGTGAAACAGCTGTTTCTACGGTTGTCGTGCCTCGTTACCAACCTTTTTTCTCCACCCTGAAACAAGAAGCTGGCATCAGGACGTCGTTATAACGCGAGGCGTCCACTTTTCCACACTGTCGTGTGACGCGTGTATATGTGCGTCATGCACGGGCTTCATCCTCTTACTCTTACTCATACCGTCACCCTCGAGCCCGTCGCCCGTGGTCCTTCTATGCTGCAAATAAAGCTCTCCTGGAAACAAACAGGGACAAACTGGACTTCCACTGGACAAATTGACACCCCTAACAGACACGTATGTACGATGTCAGGGACTCTCCTGTTTTCACGATTCGACCGTGTTGATCCACTTTGTTCGCTTGTTTAAAGACCAAATGGTAGGACGCTACAACTGTTCTAGTTACAACTATGCGGTAACTCGTTGCACCGTTTAATCCTCGCCAAAACTCTCGTTTTCCAGTACATACAATTTGGGTCTGACCTATCAAATGACCAACAGTAGAAATCAATCAGAGACGAACAAATAGATACTTCGTTTGTACTACTTTATTGAAAATAAAGAAATAATTTAATGTGTCTGCATTCATATTTTCACGTTTAATAGATCAATGCATGTACGGTATTGTTAGCACGAATGATTATTCGTGCTAACAATATTAATTAAATAGCGATACTGCCCACGTATTCCTGGTAAAAGATGATAAACAGTAATCGGATCACAGATGAAGTTGTAACTTTACATTGGAAACCGCAGAGACAAATGGTTCTATGAACTAGAGTCGAGATCGGTAACGGTGAAGAGAGAAAATTTAGGGGAAAGTGTACGGGGTGCTGGAAAGGGAGCTTGTATATGTTCAACGCACGTGCGTCTGTTACTCGTGTGTATAGGGTGCAAACGGGGCACGAAACCCCAACAACAAGGGTGAGAACACGCACGGACAAAATGTGACATCCGGACCGATCAATTCCCAAGATTTCCTATAGGAGATCGACTCTAACCCATTTGCAACTCCATAGCGTCCTCTCTTCGGTTTCTTGGATCAGTTTGCTGAACTCATTATTTTTAATCATTATTGTTCAGATTACTTACTATGAAGATTTTCAATGTAGAAATGGAAAGAATGTTGAAAGTTAAAAAAGAGGGATAAGTAAGAGAGGGAACGTTCATTGTATAGTATTCCTTGTAGACGGTTTCTATGGTGTTGTTTTCGTGGAGGATAGGAGAAAGCAGAGGAGTTTCACCGCGATTGCTGTAACAGCATCGCCCTGATGAGAGACGCGCATATCGGTAATGTAACCAATCACCGGGGTGAATCTGTCTAGCTATAAAGCCTCGGTACCCGGGTCCGTGTTGGGTCGCGTACCCTCGCCGTTAGTTTAGCTACAGCTACACCCGGCACGGGCGCGAGAGTTGGTTTAGCTTCGGCTCCCCGTAACGAGGAGTTTAATGACATCGTCGACGTCCACGTTGGACACGTGAATGTCAAGAGAAGTTCCCTCTTCCCCGTTTCCTCTATTTTGATGTGTACCTACGCTTTACCGTTGTACAAAATTTACTTTCACCCTTATCCACCGTCGATTGTTATTTCCCATATTCTTTATCATTATTCTTTAAACTACGTATACTTAAAAAGAATTTCTTAGGTAGACAATTCTTGAAAAATTTTTATTTCGCTCTATTTAGATTTAAAGGAAATGTAGGAATAGCTTTTGTAAGTATGAAATGTATCCTGTATTGCACATTTTAGTTATTCGTAGATGAAAGCATGGACTAAAGGGTTGTCATCGACGCGCACGTACACAGTATATTATCTCTGCTAACAATCGACGCTCCGTTTGTTCGAAGTTTGAAGCGTCTACGGAGCCGGCTTCTCTGAACTGTGATTTAATGAAACTGTCATTGTTACGAATCGGTCAGGAATGTTTCAACGGTATTAATTTGGAAAAAGTGGCACGTGTCCGGCGCAGGAACGTTCCGGTCCCCCGTGGTTAAAACAGTAAAAAGATGGGCGAGAGACACGCGGCCTTACATCAGTTAAAATAGGTAGACAAACCAAGTGCCACGGGTGGAGGATGCGAGCTAATGGTGCGTGCTCGTCCTAGTCGTTAACGTCCGACGGTGTATACCCTCTTATTTTTGTATTAAAAACAATCCCTCCCTGGCTTACGCAGCTCCCCTTATCAGCTCCTGGACGCAAACGATGACGATAATCCCGTTAATTGTTCTGGAAAAATGCAGCATTAGAAGAGAACGTGTAGTATTCGTTTTAATTCAACTCTTTTATCTCATTTAAAGTAGCTGTGTTGACATCTGAGTTGTAACTTACAATTAGTTACGCTGAAAGAAAAGTACATCTTCTCAGGTAAATTTTACGACTTTACGCTTGACTAACATTTAATAACCGCTACTATTTTAACGACATTTTTATAGCTCACTTCCAACGACATTTAACACAATTTTCATTCGAAGGAGGTCTTGTTTTCAGCAGATATTAAATTACTTTGTACCCAAATGTAAATTTTATGTTTTCTAAAATAGCAGTGTCGTATATCAAGAACGATTTAACAAAGTACTGATTTTAAGAATTGTCAAAATCCATTGCATTTTCTAGAAAGGGAAACGACACGTTCCATTTGTGAGAGTAAAAGTAAGGGAGCACAATGTATTAATCTTCCATCGTTTACGACTTGTTTTCTATGAGTTTCTTGGTCATTTACGAGCTATTTTAAGCAGGCCTACAGCTTCAATAAATCAGCTCAGGATCAGTTGTTTCCACTGTAGCAGGAAATCGATCGTAAAATTTGATCCGAGATTCGAAAACGCCGGTCATGTTCGCGGAATCCTCCGAAACGAATCGTGC